CTTCGTGCTAACCTGTGTGCACACCCTTTCCTCTCCCTTTCAATCTTGTTGATGGAGATTACTCCCATGGCTGATTGAAGCTTCTTAATTTCCTCCACCAGCCACATCAGCTGAGATAGATCTTCCACCTCCCGCCGCTCCAGCTTGACAATTTCAGCTGAGTCGGATTCGACGACTATCGGGTAAGCCACCAATGTATTAAGTTCCGAAGCCCTTCAAGTAACGCCATAGCCTCCATTGTTCTCACACTGCTCGTATGATCGACAAATTTGTATCCAGCAATGATAATTTGCCCCTCCCAGTTCCAGAGAACCCATCTTAGCCTTCCCGTTTGGTGATTCTCAGTCCAAGCAGCATCCACGTTGAGAGACCAGGTAAGAAAATTAGGACGTTGCCATCTCAACTGAGGTTGATTGTGCTTCTGAATTTTGTTTGGAAAACTATGGGTCTTGCCTTTGTTATCAGTAATTGACTCCTTGTTGAAATGTGTACTGATGGCTCTGTTAATGTGAGTTAACGAATTCTGCATATCTGGCAAATTGTTGTGAAACACCACTCCATTTTGGGAATTCCAAACCACCCACGAACACATCATGAGCTTCTCCAAACCTTCATCATCGGCATTATCGAGCATCCATTTTCCCAGTAGTCCCATATTCTCTAACTAGACCTGTGTAAAGCAGATAGACCAACATAAGATTTTAGCAAAAAACTCCAAAGGTCTTTAACTACCTTGCAATCCCAGAATAGATGCGTTGTTGTCTCTTCTGAAAGCCTGCAAAGAACACAACACCTGTCAGTAGTTATCCCCATCTTAACAAGATTAGATTTTGTAGGAAGAATATCTTTGACAATTTTCCAGCAGGATATTTTAATTTTAGGGGCCACTTTTACTCTCCAAAATCTCTTCCATCGACCATTCTGAAGCTCTGTGTTAGACATATTTGTGTCCTTCAAAGCTTGTAATTCCATCCCCAAGTGATATGCGCTCTTCGCAGAAAAAACCTTTTCTTGACCATTCTGAAGCTCTGTGTTAGACGTATTTGCGCTTCTCCGTTGAACCACGGCAGGGCGACGATTGTAGAACCAGCGGGACACGTCTTCCATGAAACTCCTGAGACGAACAATAGATTCCAGAAGCTCTACGACACCCGGATCTCCAATAAATTAGATTTCTGACCCACTCAGACGAACGAATGAGTAATATGAGTGAATGTTTTGGATGAAATTTTGGTTTCCAATTTGTGGTTATTTAAACTGTTTGTATAAGATTAAATTAGAAGATTCTTGGACTGTATTTTGTGGGTGTATCTTTGAGTTTATGGTAAATTATCTAACCCACATCATATATGTATGATGTCTATTGAAAACTGATATTAAAGGCGAGTTTTATTGGAATGAAATCACAACTTCCGTTCACAACTTCTACAGATCTGCCGGCAGCAGTGCAAGAGAATCAAAGGCCACCACCTGTTAGACAAAAAGCCTAAACCAATTTCTCAAGCATTAAGAACCGCGAAGGTCATCCACTCAAAGAGTCTGAAGATTGGAGTTGGGCTTGAAGGGTTGCTAGGCAATGCAATCGTTGACCTCTATGTCAAATGCGGTAATGTGGATTTCGTCGAGAAGGCATTTTCCCAGCTCGAGAAGAAGGATGTATTTGCCTGGAACTCGGTGCTTTCTATGTACTCGAAGCATGGGTTATTTGCAACTGTTCTTGATTCTTTTGTGTCAATGTGGAATTATGGGGTGCAGCCTAATGAGTTCACGTTTGCGATGATTTTATCATCTTGTTCCAGATTGAGGGATGTTAACTATGGTAGACAAGTCCACTGTGGTGTTTATAAGATGGGATTTGAGTTTAGTCCTTTTTGTCAAGGTGCGCTTATTGATATGTATGCTAAATGCAGTAGTCTAAAGGATGCTCGGTTAGTATTTGATGGGGCACTTAATTTGGATACTGTTTCTTGGACAGCAATGATTGCAGGGTATGTCCAAGTTGGCTTACCTGTGGAAGCAGTCAAGGTGTTTGATAAAATGCGGAGAGTTGGAGATGTTCCTGATCAGGTAGCGCTTGTGACTGTTATAAATGCATATGTGGCTCTAGATAGGCTTGGTGATGCTTGTGGGTTGTTTGCCCAGATTCCCAACCCTAATATTGTAGCTTGGAATGTGATGATTTCAGGGCATGCCCAGAGAGGATATGCAGAGGAAGCTATTTCGTTTTATCTGAAATTGAAGAGAATTGGCTTAAAAGCCACTAGATCTACTATAGGAAGTGTTTTGAGCGCAATTGCCAGCTTGTCGTTGCTGAATTATGGTTTGATGGTTCATGCTCAGGTGATTAAGGAAGGGTTGAATGCTAATGTGTATGTGGGAAGTGCATTGGTGAACATGTATGCCAAATGTGAGAAAATGGATGCTGCAAAAGAAGTGTTCGATTCTTTGGACGAGAGAAATATCGTCTTGTGGAATGCGATGCTTGGAGGTTTTGCACATAATGGGCTTGCCCACAAAGTGATGGACTTGTTTTCGTGCATGAAACAACATGGACCTCAGCCTGATGAGTTTACCTACACTAGTATTTTAAGTGCATGTGCCTCCTTGAAGGATCTCAAACTCGGTTGTCAACTTCACACTGTTATGATTGTGAACAAATTTGCATCTAATATATTTGTTACAAATGCATTGGTAGACATGTATGCTAAATCGGGGGCATTAAAGGAAGCAAGAAAACAATTTGAGTTGATGAAAATTCATGACAATGTCTCATGGAATGCAATAATTGTGGGGTATGTGCAGGAAGAGCATAATGAGGAGGCATTTTTCATGTTTCGGAGTATGGTATCGGATGGGACTCTTCCGGACGAGGTGTCTTTGGCCAGTATATTGAGTGCTTGTGCAAATGTTCAGGAGTTTAAACAAGGGCAACAATGTCACGGTCTCTCAGTTAAAGTTGGTTTAGATACAAGCATTTATGCTGGAAGTTCCCTCATTGACATGTATGTCAAGTGCGGGGCTCTTTCGGCAGCCTGTGATGTTTTTTATACCATGCCCTATACAAGTGTCGTCTCAATAAATGCTCTAATTGCTGGATACACCACAAACGGCGTCAAGGAAGCCATAAACCTGTTTCAAGAGATGCAAATAGTTGGACTTAAGCCTACGGAAGTCACATTTGCAGGCCTTTTAGATGGATGTTATGAAGGAGCATCTATGCTGAAACTAGGAAGGCAAATTCACTGTCAAGTTATGAAGTGGGGTTTTCTGTTTGGTTGTGAAATTGTGTGTGTCTCTCTCTTGTGCATGTATATGAACTCCCAAAGTCTATCAGACTCTGAAACTCTCTTCTCTGAGTTGCTGAATCCAAAAGGTTTGGTGTTATGGACTGCTTTGATTTCAGGATATGCTCAAAACAACCACTGTGAGAAGGCATTGCAATTCTACCTACAAATGCGCACCGAGAATAATTTACCAGACCAAGCAGCATTTGCCAGTGTTCTTCGAGCATGCTCTGGATTGTCTTCTTTACAAAACGGTCGGGAGGTCCATTCCCTTATCCTCCAGACTGGCTTTAACATGGATGAAATAGTATGTAGTGCTCTTATAGATATGTATGCAAAATGCGGTGATGTTGAGAGCTCTGCTCAAGTTTTTCATGAAATGTGTAGTAAAAACAGTGTCATTTCTTGGAACTCTATGATAGTTGGACTTGCTAAGAATGGCTATGCAGAAGAAGCGCTTGAAGTATTTACTCAGATGGAGCAAGAATCCATCATGCCTGATGATGTCACATTTCTTGGTGTTCTTTCTGCTTGTAGCCATGCTGGGAGAGTGGCCGAAGGCCGAAAGATCTTCGACTTGATGGTTGGCCATTACAAGTTACAACCAAGGGTCGATCACTTGGGCTGTATGGTAGACATTCTTGGGAGATGGGGATTCCTTAATGAAGCAGAGGAGTTCATCATCGGACTCGGATTTGAAGCTGATCCGATGCTCTGGTCAACTTTGCTTGGAGCTTGCAGAAAACATGGAGATGAAGTTAGGGGGAGGCGTGTAGCTGAGAAACTTATGGAATTAAATCCTCAAAGTTCTTCACCTTACGTGCTGCTCTCTAGCATATACGCAGCATCAGAGAATTGGAAAGGAGCTGACTCTTTAAGGAGGCAAATGAAATCAAAGGGAGTAAAGAAGTTGCCTGGATGCAGTTGGGTATAACCAAGAAGAACCATACTAGGCCGCTCATACGGTTCGGGATCCAAGCCCTCCAGGATGAATTACAATTGGTCAAAACCTTCGACCAGCATGAGAAATTTCTCACAGGCGCAAGTTATGCAGGTTTGATAAACATGAACTAGACCAAGTTCTCTTTTTTTAATGATAATTTATGTTGTGACTTGGAGTTGGTTTGATAACCACTTTGTTTTGTATTTTTTTGTTTGAAAATCAAGCTTATTAACACTACTTGCAGCACCTATGTGTTTCTTTGTTTTGTTATCTACTTTTTAAAATTGTTTCAGAATCAAAGTTAGGTTTTAAACTAAAGTCTCATTTAATAACTATTTTGTTTTCTGTTATTTGTTTTTAAAAATTAAGCTTAGAAACGTTACTTTCACTTATGTGTTCCTATTTGTTGTATTTTAAAAATCTAGGCTAAATTTTGAAATAATAATAATAATAATAAAAAATAACTTTTTTTTGGTTTGAAATTTAGGTAAGAATTCAAATATGTTTTCAAGAGACCGAAAAACTTACTCATGAAATTGTTAAAAACAAGCATAATTTTTAAAAATAGAATTAAAAATGATATTGTTATCGAATGGCCCAGAAAAAAATAGCTTTAAAAGACTTTTTTTTTTAAAAAATTTATCTAAGAATTCATGTGTTCTTATGGAACCGTACCAAAGAAATTGAGAGCAAACAAGCATATAATTTATAAAACTAAAAATGAAATTGTTATCAAATGTGATTTTAATTTTCTTGACTGGAAAACGAGTAATGGAGACTGAATCTTCGCTTGTGGTCCTTTCAAGGTATTACAAGAGATCATAATAGTTCATAGATGAAATCAAATTCATATTAGGAATTTCTCTTTCCTAGCCTAGCATGAAAAAAAATGTTGTTGATAGATTGGTTTTTAATTGCACAGGGTATTACATACCACAGTTGGCTATTGCTCTTTTGGATCACAATGCAAGATCCAGTGGTTTCAATTTCAACATCAAAGAAGTTGCCCTAAGAAAAAGTTAATTTGATGATTCAATCTCGTTTCCAAAAACTTTTATTAATTTGGTTCCTATTTTTAGATTGGGAACCCTCTATTGAGACTTGACAGAGATGTTCCAGCAACGTACAAGTACTTTTGGTCGCACGGAATGATATCAGATGAGATCGGTATCACCATCATGAGCAAATGCAATTTTGATGATTATACTTTTTCAAGTCCTCACAATGTGACAGATTCATGCAATGAAACCATATCGAAAGCAAACCACATTGTTGGTAATTACATAAACAATTACAATGTCATCCTCGACGTGTGCTATCCATCTATAGTGGAGCAAGAGCTACGATTGAGAAAAATGGTATCGACTTCTTCATGTTCGTAAACTTCATTTGCTATTCGATTCAAGTTTAGTACTTCTGGTGCTGTAATTTAAGTCTTCATTCATCTTTGCAGGTTTCTAAGATAAGCTTGGGGGTTGATGTGTGCATGACCATGGAAAGAAAATTCTATTTCAACCTTCCAGAGGTTCAGAAAGCGCTTCATGCTAACCGAACTAAATTACCGTATGGTTGGTCGATGTGCAGTCCGTAAGTTATATCGGTCTAACATGTTGAAGAACTTCGAATATACTGCAAAACGGTTAGCTTTTACTAAAGTAAAACCCATCATTTTGATGCAAGAAATGAGATTTTTGATAAATGGCATGAGTTCTGCTTATGTTCATTGCAAAATCCATTTCAGGAACTTGACATTTTGTTAACTTTGATTGACAGAGTAATAAATTACAGCTATACCGACGGTAACATCAACATTCTTCCATTGCTGAAAACGATAATCGAAAATCATATTCCGGTTTTGGTTTTCAGGTAATTTCGTTTAGTGTTTGAAAAAAGAGTTGTCTAAGTAGATTTGTTTGTCGTAGTCGTTCTAAACATGACATGTCTCATAAACTTTATAGCGGAGATCAAGATTCTGTCGTCCCCTTGTTGGGATCTTGAACGCTCATCCATGAACTCACTCATGATCTGAAGTTCAAGATTACAGTCCCATATGGAACTTGGTTTCACAAAGGCCAGGTACTCACTGCATTCTAATTGTTTCATCAATCTGAAGTTTGGTTTCATCTGAAACTATGGTTGCAAATGGGCAGGTCGGAGGTTGGGCGATCAAGTACGGAAATCTTTTGACATTTGCAACAGTAAGAGGTGCTGCTCAAATGGTACCTTATGAGCAGCCATCAAGAGCGTTGCATCTGTTTAGTTCCTTTGTCCATGGTCGGAGACTGCCTAATTCGACTCGGGCTTCAATTGATGATTAGATAAGTTTTCCTACACGTAATACTCTTACTTGAGATCTATGCATTCTGGAATATGGAAAAGAAGAAAATAATTTAGCATTCAGGCCCCAAGTCTGAGCAGTTTACAATATTGAGCTCTCTGGTTTATACCGGTTTCTTCTTATTGAATTCTTTGAAAGTTTGGGTTTGAATTAAAGTGAAAAAGAATTGCTTCTTTTGATTTCTTCAGTTGAATGCTGTGTTTATTATGTGTGCAACTGTCGATATCTAACTGCAAAGTTGTACAAATCAGCTAATCCGAACATATTTTAACGGTTAAAGCTTTGGTAGCATTCCTTTTATATTAAAGGTAGTCCCCAAATTAGAAGTGCATTTGAGATGATTTTTTTTAAGTTTAACATGTGTATATACCTTTTTAAGGGAAAAAAAATAATTGTTTCTAAAATACTCTAAAGGTGCTTTAGAACTTTTATAATAACTTTGAAATTAAGTGCTCAACTCTTCATTGTGTAGTGTTATCATAAAATAAAAGAATTGGAGACTTTGGAGATATAAATATATGCAAGAGACTATGTAAACAAATTGAACATAGTTGAAATGTTTCAAAAATTGTCAAATAATTGGTATATACCTCCAATCATGAGATTGAGAGTTCGATCTCCCACTCCTACATGTTATACTTAAAAAAAAGTTTCAAAAATTGATAACCGAACTAGGAATTAGGGGATCTTACAATCTAATTATATATCTTGGACCCTAAGTTTTAAGCTAAAAGTTCGTTTGGTCTTTACGCTTCAAAATTGTACATTTTTGTTCGGGTTTTCAAAAGTAGATTTAAATGGTCCTTCAACTAACAAATATTTTAAGTTTATTTTAAGTCTAACAAAAAGTTCATTGGCTATAATTGTAAAGTGGTTTATATGATTAGGATTTTAGGAATGTCTTGGAAGGCTGATTTAGAAACTTATTTACACAAATGTCTAAAATTTTCTAATTTTACACTTTTAGAGGAGGATTTTATTTTAATTTTGATTTTATTCTTATTTATTGCAGTTACATTTATTATAGTTTTTTTTTAAATATAAAAGATTTAATTCCAATTATTATTACAATATTTTAATTATTGTGGGTCCTATACAAATTTTCAACACTAATCGCTTGATTCACTTCTTTGAAACCTTAATTTACTCTTGATTTATCAATATTATTAATTACAAAAATATCCAAATCATTCTGTCCCCTTTTGTAATTTCCCAGTTCTCCTTATTCAATAGACACATGTCTTTCTAAAATCACTGTTAGCAATTCACTCTCTAACTACAACACTCGGATATATCCAGATTAGCAACTCGCTCTCCAACTACAACCCTCGGATATATCCATACATAAACTAAATTTCATATAAATTTCCTTATATCCCCATATATACAATAGTTGACACGAAATCAGAAATGAAAGAGTTTAACAGTAAAAAAAAACGGGGTTTTCAACATTGTACAAATATGAAAGAGAAAACTATTAGGATATATTGGAATACAAACCTTTCGATCGGGATAAACGGAGACGAACTGCTCCGACAATGGAGGGAGACTGGAGACGAAGGAATGAAGACTGGAGACGAAGGAGCGAACGGAAAGGGCAAGTTTTTGAATAAGAATGGGAACGGAAAGGGCGAGTTTTTGAATAAGAATAATGAAGACGGCGACGAGATAAGGAGAACGGATACGACAACTGGAAAAGGAGGCACCCAGACGGTGGCGGAGGCGAAGGAATGCATGGACGGTCGGTCGGAGACAGAAAACAGAGACGGTTGGCTGGAGACGGAAAACAGAGGAAGTAGAAGAGTCGGAGAGAGGGATTTCAAATTTTTCGAAAATTGATGAGTTTGGGGATTTTTGTGATTTTGATATTTTTTTTTTTTTACTTTTGGAAAGTATAATTAAACAAATTTTAAGGGATTTAAATTGTTGTTGGATTGGTATGACAACTAGAGGGGTGAATAGGGTTTAATGCAACTTTTTAAACTTTTTACTAGGATGAGCCCAAATTAAACAAATAAGTAAACTTTCTAGGAACAATTAATTTTATCAGAAATTAAACAATAAATTAGAAATACAAATACCCTAATTAATTTCACCACCCAAATATTGCACATAAATATGAATAACAAATTAAAGCAATTAATTCATGCAATTTATAATAAAGAAAATTAATTGCAAAAATTAAATAGAGTAGGGTTAGAGAAAATGACACCGGAAATTTTATAGTGGTTCGGCAACACCAGTCTAATCCACTTCCCAAGCTCCTCTTGGGTGTTCCACTAGGAAACTTACTCTTTTCACGGTAGAAGTCAAACCGGTACAAAGTCTTGTTTTTTTGAGAGCATGAAGAAACTCGATCATTTCCACGGTTCAGGATCAAACCGTTACAAATGCTCTTTTTCGAGCTCAAGAGCAACCCTTACAAAGAATATGAAAATTTAAGAACAAACTTACAAACTCTCTCAAAGAGTGGGTATACAAATTTTTGCTCACAAATTTGTAAGAAAAATTCTTACAAATAAAAGCCCTCAATTTGTCTAAGAGAAATAAAATTAGAAGTTCAAATATCTCCCAAATAAAAAATCTCCCTCAAAAGAAATTATAAGAACATTGAAATTTTGGAGAGAAAAACATGAAGAGATTGGAGATAAAATTGGGGAGGAAATTGTTATTTGATTTTGGGAGAGAAGAGTGGTTTAAATAGGAGGGAGAAGAGGTTTGAAATTGGCTTGAATCCAAAATTAATTTGGATAATTGGATTTGAATTAGTTAAAATAAAAAGTTGGGATTAAATAAAATAAAATAATAATAATAATAATGATAAATTTTATATATACACACACCAACAGAATAGTTTAAAAAAAAACTTTGATTTTTTTTTTTTGACTACCACCTGCCACACATGCTACACATGCTACCTGACACTTTTTTTTTATTTAATTTCAATTTACCGTTGTAACTGGGGTTTTTTTTTTAATATTGTTCTAGATGAAACTTATTTTTAAAATATAATTGTTTAATTAAAAATATTGTAGGTTTTGAAACTTAAAACAGAAGGTTAGAAGAGACGACCGCGCCACGTAAATTTTTTAAAAAATTTGAACGTGGTCGGACGATCATCCCACATGGTCGTCTCTTCATTTTTGGAAAAAAAAAGTTTGTTATATCATATATTATTTAGTAGTTTAAATGTAAAAAACTGTTTAGTGGTGGGTGTACTGTTACCCTAATATCACTTCCATCTCTTTTTTTTTATTTAATTTCAATTTACGGTTGTAACTGGTATATATAATAATATATATATATTTTTTATTTCTTTATGCCAAATAAAGAAATATTTTTTATTTCTTTATGCCAAATCATTATGCCAAATAAATGAACCGTTACAATTTACTTATTGTTGTCATTATTATTATAATGGAACGATAACTATAACATTCCACATGAAATATATAAATAAGAAATATTAGAACCAATTTTCCAAATCAAAATTTAGTAAAAAAAGTTGCAGTAGAAAATTGGAGACAAGAGAAGGGCTAATTCCGAACAAGATGACAAGACGACAAGATATGCAAGATAGTGAAATTGATGAACGAATACTCAAAGGGGAAGGAAATTAGTAAACAAACAAAAGCAAAGATGATGACACAAAAGGAGAACATGAACATCAGTGCGAGGCGAAGGCGAGCAAAAGTGACAGAAACAACAAGCAACAATGTAGTGTCAACAATGAGCAATAAGATGATGGCAACAATAACAACAATTGAAGAAGACTAAAAATTGAGAGGGAGAGATGACATTTGGTTATGTATTCACGTAGAGGAAAGAAAGATGAAATGAAATATGATATTTGAGAGAAAAGTATGGCTCATTAGGATTTGGTAAATATTACTTTAATTACAAAATAATAAAATTGATGAATGAATACTCCGTGGTTAATGAGGTTAGTAACCAGATTAAATATAGTGCTTTCTAAGAAGGGCTTGACTTGGAAGAAGAAAATGAAATACGAACAACCGCGCTTCAGTTCTTTGATCCATTCTGTGGCGCGAAATCCATCATTGGCTAAACAATCATTTGGTTATGCCATTTTGGACTTTGCTCTAACCGAAGCTATTGCATCCTTTGCCCCCTTCCGTCTTTCTTTTCTTATCAGCTTTTTTCTTTGTTTAGCGAACGGGGCCGAAGATCGGGGAAGGTTTAGGAGAGATGGGGAAACCCAGCAGCTGCCGGTCGAGGCGGGGAGAAGCTAGTTATCTCCATTTCATGACTTTGCTTTTCACTCACAGGATGGTCTCATTGTATTTTTTGTGATACAAAAAGTTACTTTTGTGTGATTTTTTTTACTTGGAATATTTTGATTACGTCATGTAATTTAA